CGCAGTCTCAATTCCAAGAAACATATAAAAGAGTAGATTGATCGATTTTTATTCACCTGTCACATGTGCCTGGAATTATCAAGAGATATGATTTGTTTATGTTGTTTATTGATTCCTGTTTGGGGATCACTTCAGGCCTCATACACTCCACGTACTGCTTACATCCGAACATTCTGTGGATGAAGTTAGAACCGTTCCTTTAATAATTACCTTTCTTATGATACATCATTGTGTGTTGAACAGCAGAGAAGACTCATTCCATAATCATGATGATCTATTTATTAATCATTCTTGATAACTAACAAACTAAGTCCTGGGTCTCGAATTGACGGACCTCGTTAGGGCCATGCTAGTGTTGGCGTCATATTGTGTCTGGTGGCAGCTAAGCTGACCACAACTAAAGTTCGGTGGAGGTGTCAAGGTTCGAACCTAGGAACTTGGAGTGCAAAGCATGAACGGTGAAAGAATTGTGTCACTAGGCTACCACCTGCGTACAGCAATCATACTAGCAACGGCAATAGGCTATCGATTTAGCCGATTCCAAGACGCTACCAGGGAGTCTGTGGATACGGCTGGTACTTTATTGCCAACATATCACAGTCAATTGGATAATAAAAGATCACCAAACAGCATTTACCCATCCAATTGGGATTCTCATTCTAATTCCGTATCCGATTGATATCAGTCTAACTGGTCCGGATTCCATCCTTTCCTATTGGTTTTGGGGAACTTGCATCCAATGAAAACTAACAACGTACTCCTGAAGTAAATTGAATTTACTATGGTATGCATTTTATCGCTCGGGTATTTCTCAATTAATCAAAACTATTCAAACTATTCTGTCACTACGAGTATACCGTTACATAAAATCCCGTTCAATATTGAATCGTTTGTCCGAAATGGCAACGAGCTTGTCCCCCATTAGCTCTATCTCATATGTTACGTTTGTATTCCAAACCGTGTATGTAGTCTTGGACCCGTAGCCCGCTATCAAAGTAGAACAACCATACACAGTGTAAGATAGGCTTATTATGACTCGTCCATAATCAGTCGTGTCAGCGTACCTTCAACAAGGCAGCAATGGAGCTAACAGCCAATCAGGATCGGGTCCATGTCGGCCGGTAGTCTTGACACAGGCCGGTAAACAGTAAAAGTGGCGATACCCATAGTCCCAGGAACCTAATATTCAGCACTAAAAACCTGTTGCCTAAGCTCTTGGATTTACAGAACCTCAACAGGACAAAGGTGGTACAGCGAAGCTCTAACACCACAGTGGAGGCCTGTTTGCGTAGTCTGGATTTCATATCTTGCTTATTAGCAGAAACCAGTGACAGGAGTACGTTTCATTCATTCAGGTTGTTTCATAAAACTTAGTAATATCACGGTGGGGTGAGAAAACAAAATTTCAGCAGGAAAACGGAAATACAATTAATTGATCAGCTGCGCAAGTCCGGCGATAAACAAAAAAGAAAAAATACTACAGTCAAAATCAAAGTTATGTTATGGACATTATTTACGAGCAGTTGGTTTTCTTGTCCCTTAGGGTATTTACACGAATTGAACTGTAATAATGATGAACAAAATTCCATATGCTGCATTCAGTTGCGATATATGCGATCATGGATGTTGGAATGTAATGTGTTTTACTGATTCATCAAAATCTACCTTGGAAGAATCAATCGTCTTAGCACAAACGACATGAGATGGTAAGGAATTCCAAGCGTGCACACTCTGACAGCGAAAAAATGACGTCCACAGTTCAGCCGGGATTTTTGGAGTAGTACGTTGAATGGATGTCCCCGTAGATGATGACAACGTCAAAAGTGGGCGACAAGGGTATGGTGATTCGGATCCACGAGATCACGACTGCCCTGGAGCAGTGTGGTACAGTTTCCGGACATTGGTAGTCAATCG